CGTTGGTCCCTTTGAATGCTGAAAGGGCCGCGCCGCGCCGGGCTCTGTCCGCCGCCATGGCCTTCTCCAGGGCTCCGCTCCGGCGCTTCAACGAGAGCTCCGGTACGTGCGCGGCGGCCTCCTGTCCTCGGGGGGGTGGGCGAGGGAAGGAGGGAGCCCGAGCCCTTCGTGGTAGTGCCTGAGGGACGGGGGACGGGCCTGCGGTTACCTCGGTGTGTCCCAGCCCGTCTGCCTCTGACAGTGTGCTCGAGGACCTGTTGTCTAGGCGCTTGTCGGAGTCTGTTTTGAGGAAGAAAAATCCCGACTTCGGTTCGAGTCCTGGTCGTAGGTAAACGGCTACTAAACGTAGCAGTGAACATATATGTATATATACGTACGCTGCAAATAAAACAGTGACAAACCAGGATTTGCTAGCCTTCTGGTGTCTTGATAGAAAACTGCAAGAGAAGCACATACAGAACTAGTCAGAACTGAAGCTACTGAGGGCACTTTCTAATGTAAAAGTTTCTCACAATGAGTTTTTGCCTGTAGCTGCATGCCTTTCTGCTATTGTCACCCTTTCTCATAGTAAATGAAGTTGCTTTCATTTGGAGAAAGCTGAAGCAAGTAGATAAGCGTTTGTTGTGTTTGAGACTACCCCGCTGTAATGATAATTGTATGAAGAATTTGTAGCCATGTTGTTCTGTCTGCTGTTTCCCTTAAAATTGTTTAATTTTTTAAAAAAGCTTTTTATTTTTTTTTTTAAATTAAGTAACTTAGTTCTTTGAAGGAAAAGTTTGGCATTCAGTAATGTCTAAGTAGTCTCTTCTAAACTGGAATAAGATGTTTAAAAAAACCCCTAATAGTTAAGTTTGCTTTTTATCCTTTAACACTTTAGACTGGCTTTTTCACCAGTTGACGTTGAGATCCTCTAACCGTTTGGGGTTTTTCTTTATGGAAGTTAATGCGCTGCTATCACTAGTAAGATGCCTTGCAATATCATATGGGTAAATCGCAGTTTCTAATTTTATTAGTGGTGTAATAAATGAACGCTTTCCCCCACCATGTGTGCTGTATATTTTTTTCATGTTTATGTGGAGGATGAGGAGAACTGAGACTCCAGTTGGTGTTCTGGTTTTTTTTTTTAAGTGGATTTGACTTAGATGTGTTACCAGCCTCAACTTACTGAAGTTGAAAACCCGATCATTTGCCTTAATAGTTCTCTGCTGTTCTGAAAATCTCGTTTCTAGTATGTACTCCACTGCGAGGATCCTATGATGTTAAATCTTCAGATGTACTGAAAAGGTCTCTGTCCTCTGAAACATGTCAAAGGGTTAGGAGACAGAAGAGTGAGTAGTCCTAAAAGTTGCACAGAACACAATGGTATATTAACTTTGAATGCTACAATTGTTAGTGGTTATATGCTGTTACTGGGTTGTTCTTGTTTAGAAATTGTTTTCTGTTGCAGGGGCTCACTGCCTACCTTCCAGCTCAAGGGTGTAGCAGCTGTAAAAACATGTCTAACTGAATCTTCTGAAAAGAGCTTTATATGTGACTTCTGCTAATTAGGGGGACCTCTGGAGATCAAATAAATGATTTAACTACTTCATTAACCATGTTTTTAGTGATATTTTCATGGGTTTTTCAGATATAAAGCATCCCTCAGTTGAAAACTGGCAGCATGGGTCTGGATGGTGGGGGGGAAACTTGACAGAAGCTGAATACTCAAAACTGACTGTCATCTGGTAGTCTCTCTCTAAACTCTGTGAAGTGCCCAGATGACTAATATTGAACTGCCCGACTGTAATAAGAAAACAGCTGGCATTGGGTAGTGAAGTGGATAGCCTAATAATCAGGCGACATTCTGTCTTTTGTATAGAAAGCCAATTAACCTTGTCTAGTTCGGTTAAATTTCCCTCACCATGTGCATGCACGCCCTTTTCCTTCACCATTCTTTTCTACGTCCTTCTGCAGGTGAGACAAATCTGAACAGTGAGAAGAGTGCACCTACCCCTGTAACTGGAAGGAGACTCGCATCTCTCGGATCAACAGTAAGACTCTTCTGTGGTGTCTGTAGCACTGTTAAGTTCCAGCTGAAGCTCACTGTGACTAGTTAAATCTTGTAGCCCCCTTATGCAATTACTATTAACCTACCTGAGTAAACTATGAAACACATTATTGTGCCTGTATTCCTTAGTAACTAAGAAGGAAAAATTAAATTACAGCGTCTTTGGGAATCACATGATGATTACTTGGGACTACAGAGTGGCTTGTCTTTGGTGTTACAATGTTGGGGTTTTTTGCCTCTTCCTCACCATGTAATTATGGTGTGGCTGCTTCTTTTTAGGAAGATCATGTTTCTGTTTCTTCTTTCATACGGTGGACAGGGCAGAGCAGAAACTTAGTGGTAAAAGAAACAAAGAGGGTTGATACTGTATATACAGGTTCTCAGTGCAATGTGCGAGGATATGGATTTGAAGATGCATAGCTTAACAAGTTGAAAAATGATAACCCTGACTTACTAATTTAGTTTACTAGTACTCATGATGTAGGATGAAATTCTGCAAACAAACCTGTGGTTAAGGGTTTAACGTGTTCTTTATGGAGTTTAGGGGGGTGCTAATGCCTCAAACTTTCTTAATCTCCTTCCTGTCACAATGGTTATAAGCTGTCCATTCAGAGTAATGCTTATGAGAAAGTACAATGGTAAACCCCATCCTAACCTGATGCTTCTCTGCCCTATGTGGGGGGGAGAGATGTTTGGTTTTTATTTTTTGTCTGTGTATCTTTAATAGTATTGTCTATATGAATGCATCCACTCTTACATTTAACTGTGGTGTTAAACTAGTATGCAGCTAGAGATCCGTTTAAATATTTCTAATATGTCCGTTTTCAAAAGCCAGCTAATGGGATTCTGAAGCCTAAAAAAGATCTTATCCTTATGAAAGAGAAAAAGAAACAAAAGACACTGGAGAAGGAGGTATGAATACATTATGTGAGTCCAATCCTGTAATATGTTTCCCACTTACCATAATAAAAAATACAAACTGGTAAAATTAGCCTCTTTTGTATAACACAGCATACAGGTAGCTTGCAAACAGCTCTGTGCAGAGCAGAGATTATAAAATGTTATGGTATGTAGAAAACATTGAGTTTGTTAATGGAATTACTTAAATTCCTACTGATTGTGAACAGCTATGTAGCTAGTCGTTTTTTTATAAAAAAAAAAAGGGGAGAACCAAGTCCTATGTTCTCTACCCCAAAAAGGTTCTGTTTTATTTAACAACTGTTTGCTGAGATTTTTGCTTAATAATTGACATAATTCTAAAGTTTAAGAGGCAGCTAGCTTTTCCTTATCAGTACACTTCTGTGTAGTAATCTATGCCTCATGTCTCAAATGTCACATTCTGTCTTTCTATTCCACAGCCAAAGAAGGGATTTGGCTTCTGTTGCAAGTTGAAGCTAAGACTATTCAACTTTAACATGTTGTACTGGCTCAGTAGCATAAAATAAGTCAGATGAAATGCTAGGACTGCAAATCTGTGGTGTATAATAATAGAGGATTGTGGTGATTCTGTTATCTCCTTTCCTGTGAATGACAGAGTTGAAGATATATATTTTGAATGAATGTTAATACAGTTTGGATACTTAGCCTCTCCAACAAAACAACAGGCATAAACTAATGAAGTTATTTAAGAAGAATAATAGTAGGAAATAAAGAAAATACCTCTTTTGTTTTAGATTCGTGCATTAGTGAGAGAGCGTGGAGAGCAGGATAAAAAACTTCAGGCTCTGGATGAGGATTTTGTT